ATTTGAAGATTGTGGCTTTTAACAATATTTAACACCGAGATGTTCTGTAATGGCTGACAGAGGATTCAAAAACGTATCCCACTTGTTACAAGGTAAAGGATGTCATCTAATAAGGCCTCCTAGAGTAACCGAAGGCAAAGCTAGTTCGAAACTGGAAGTCATGGAAAAAAGAACGTATAGCAGCGCTCCGTATAAATGTTGAAAGAACAATCGGTAGATTAAGAAATTTTTCTATGGTAGAACCTCACGCTTGCATCGATACTAAAGTAATTTATTTGTTAGATTCCATCGTTGTTATTGCTTGTGCTATGGTGAATGTTCAACAGAAATTATTAAACGTGTAATCAAAGCTTATTGAGTTTTATTTAATCATTTAATATGCTTCCAGAATAATGTACATTGATTAATTATTTTTCAACAATAATCTAAATTATAAAAAAAATTCATAAACATCAACTTTTTGAGATGTCTCAAAATCTGCATGAGCAATGCAAAAAAAGGCTTTTGATTTATTCGCGAAATGCATTTGTAGTTGTACTTGAGCTTCACATTTTGCTGTCAATTTTGCATTGTTGATGTATTTTTTCATGGTTTTAGTTTTCAGTGGACATTCAATTTCAATAGTATGTTCTTCTTTGTCATCGATGACAGCTCCCGCTTTTGTGGCCAGCTCATCCAATACATAAAAAAAAGTCAATGGCTCTTCTGACAAGCCTTGTCTTCGTGAGAAAAATTTTTCCAACGCATTTATCGATGATGGAAATTCCTCACAAATTTTCTTTTCTAGAATCTGAAAATTCTCACAAGACTCATTAATATTTTTATAAAATAACAATGCAGGTCCACTCAAATATGCCGACAACACAACTCTTTTTGTATCCTCGTTGAAATTATTGATAGCGGCGATGATATTAAATTGACGAAAGAAATCGGTTACATCACCTTTTCCGTCGAATGTGGTCCTGGTCTCCATCTTCATAAAACTATTTCTTTCTTGATTTAAAATTATTTTTCACTCGCGGTACTTGAAACTAACGCGGCGCGTCCACCATATAGAGTTCTACCCAGAAGGGATAGGACCTGGGAGCGTAGACGTTAATTGAAAAATACTGATAGAGATAAATTATTTATTATATTTTATCAGTTCTTGGTGCCTGAAGATCTAATCTTGAATGGAACCTTCTATCAAAAGACTGACGATTCCTTATTTCAAATTAAAATCATGACATTAACTTTTTAATATAACTGCCAACCGTAGGCATTGCAAAAGCAAAGAGTTTACTTAAACAAGGAGGCTGTAACGTGTCGGACGTCACATCCCTCCGGCACCTCTAAAAAAAAAAATTGTTTTGTCATACCAGATGACCGAACAAAATTTTTTTTTTCCTACCTACTACATCGAGAGGGTTCGACGGTCCTATCTAAAATCCCTACCTGCTTAAGGACATAAATACAACTGGGAGGTGGCCTTTACTACAGACTAGCCCTCACAATTAGACAGTTCTTGAAAAATGCGAATTTGAATACAAAAAATCTTTTCGCATTTCAATTATATAGTGATAAAACACATTTAAAAAATATTTTACGTCAAGCACAGGATATTTTCGGAGACGAGAGTGCCGAAATTTGTTGGAATCTGCCGATCCAACCATCGTTTGTTACACCAATGACAAACTTCGAAGCGGCGAAAATTTCGCCTATAATAAGGCATGAAGAAGAACAAGAGAAGGAAATCAACTTCATTTCCTCCCAAAGTGTCCTTTCTCATCCCATTGTCCCTCCCGAACACATGATTCCCCGCACTTTTTGTTCCAGTAACACGAACAAAAAGAAGCTTAAATCAAAGAAGAAGAAGCAAATGAAGAAAATTTTTTATGAAGAAGATTCAATGAAGATGGCTGATAAAGAAATTCACCATTCACAGCCGTCAGAAAAAAACAATCAGCATACAAGTGAGTCCAAACCTTTAATTAATATAACTGCCAACCGTAGGCATTGCAAAAGCAAAGAGTTTACTTAAACAAGGAGGCTGTAACGTGTCGGACGTCACAGTACCGTTTCACAAAAAGTAGTAATAAGCTCAGTGGTGATTACCAGTGGAAACAAGTTATCCCGATTGAGAGTAGGGAATCTATAATTAAACAGAACCACTCTGAACCAATAGCTGCTCATCTTGGTGTGGCAAAAACTTATAAACGTTTAAAATTAAGATATTTTTGGCCCGGTATGTATAAGGATACCGTGGATTTTATTAAGAGTTGCTCGGTTTGCAACGCATACAAACACAGTTCACTGGCAACTCCTGGGTTCATGGGAGAACCTAAAGTTTGCTGTCGGCCATTCCAGTGCATCAGCATTGATTTAGTTGGCCCACTGCCGATGTCCAGACAGCAAAACAACTATTTGCTGTTGGATCATGTCTTTTTGATTCATGGTATACCTCAAGCCGTGATCTCCGATAACGGATCTCAAATTATAAGCCATGAACTTCAATCTTTGTATGCCATATATAATATACCACAAGTCCATTTGGGTCCTGTGTATTGCCCTCAGCTTAACACCGTCGAACGTTATAACCGTACTGTCATCACTGCCGTGGCTTCGTTTGTTGAAAATGACCATAGATCTTGGGACGTGAATATTCATAAAATCCAGTTCGCTATGAACACCTCAGTGAACGAATCCACGTCATATACTCCGTTTATATTAGTTCATGGTAGGGAGGCTGTTGCCGATGGTAGTATTTATGCCGGTTTCAACGACCTCGACGAGTTAGTGATAGTACCCCGGGATACTCATGCGTCTAATCTGGGTCATTTAGGAGAAATCTTCAAAAAGGACCAGGACTCACTGCGAAAAGCCCACGATAGGAACGTTAAGTACTATAACAGTCGACGTAGAGATATTTCCTTTAACGTAGGCGATTACATTTGGAAACGGACGTATAAACAAAGCTCGGCTCATAAATACTTTTCAGTCAAACTTGCACCGAAATATGAACGTTGCAAAATAATCCGTTAACTCTCCCCACTCGTTTACGAGCTCGAAGACGAAAACGGGAAGTATGTAGGCAAGTGGCATATAAAAGATTTCAAAAGCACTGACCCCGAGTAGATATTTAGGTAGGTACTTTTCGCCGTAGATGTGGCGGCTGACGAATACCCATCCCGCGTTCTGCCCGGCGTGACGTAGAAGTCGTCAATGGGTCTTGGTATCGCACTGCATCCTAGATACCCATGGGTGTGCTCGTCTCCGATAGTGTAATTTTACCACCTAATTAATGCTTAAACACTTAATTGTCTCTTAACTTTTCCATGGGAAGGTTTTGTTAATGTGCTTGTTAGTTTTTTACCTACCAAGGCATTTTATTGAAGTTGCTAATACAAATGAAAACGTAATAACAACAACTTTTACCATGATATCCTATGATGAGCATAGAATATTTATGATATTTTTATTTCTCACGGGAGACAGTAAAAGAGGGACACACGATGGATGGACGAACACACACCATGCAATTTTGTTAGCAAATCGCATTTGACCACTAACATCTCTTTGGTTAAATTTTCTACCATTATGTTTTTCTCGGTATAACTGGTAACATTATAATATTTTTTTAATTATGTTTATTTTCTGAGCAAAGATGCTTGCGGTCCGGCCTTGGAAGTATACGCTTTATGATATTATTGTCAATTATTAATATCTATTTTTGTTACGACTTAAAGAATGATCAATAATTTATCGTGCTGTATGTTTATTTTTTTTAACTTAGCGGTTTATAATATTCTATTATTTTATACAACATAACTTAATCATATCTTAACTAAAGTACATAAGACATAGGGATATACGAACGAGGGCGTTCGACGAATTCCCTACGTGAATTCTGCCGTGGTTGGGGGGATACTGTAGTGTTTGTTTTTGAACGGGGCGTGACACTGACACTTATATAACTGACACACGTAGGACAGCTGTTTTGTCTATGATAGCGAACCGCTTACGTCGGCGTAGCTGTCAAACTTCATTGATTGGGTTGGTAGCATTGAGGGAATAGTTGCTTTTTTTCATTCGACTCAAAAACTCGACTTGGGACTTATAAAAAAAAAGGTAAAGAAGGCAGTGAATCTCTGTTGGTGCGTGTGGATGAGTGGATAGAGTTGACAGTTGTTGAATTGTGAATTATTTTTTCCCATTTCGATTTGAGTTCTCAATCGGGCGTTTTGTTACTCGATTCTGAATTTTACTCGAAATTGAATTTCCTCGCTGATGTAGGTAGGTATTCTCTTTTCTTCCGCTTACGGCGAGCATAGTTATACGGGTTTGAGTTTATTCGTTAACTCGTCTCGAATGCAGCGGCTGTCTGTTTGACTGTGACCTTTGCCTTCGGTTGGAGGGAGAATAACAATCATAGACACATATTTGGGAGTTGGTGGTCTTTTCTCTATGCTGAGTTGTCAAAACAACATTTAAAATTTTCGAAATTTATCGAGGTACATTCAGTTGTTGTTTTCTGCCCAAAGTATATTATAAGGGGGAACCTGCATTTTGCGGAGTCCGTGAATTAGATCTGAAAAGTTTATATCCTGGAGGATATTGGCGGAAATTGCGTGGAGACGCTAACCGAACTATAATTCGGGGTGATAAACTCACACAAGGTAGATGGTCCCGGAATCTTGGAAGGCTGGACAGTATCTTGTGATAGGAAGAACAAAGTAACGGATAGTTTTATATCTCGAACGGCTTATACGTTCTCCTCAAGAAGTACTGGAGGAAGAACAAGCTACTAACAAGGAGATTCTCTCTATACACGGACCAGAGGGTACGCGTAGAGATGGGCAGTGGGAAAAAACCCAACGGGAATAAACCCAGGTTTTTTCCCATTCGGGAAAAAACCTATATATATATAAAAATAACCTATGTGGGAAAAAACCCATTAGACGGGTATTTTCATTATTTAACGTTATTATCTCGATCTTAAAAAAATCTTTTTTTTTATTTTTATAACAAAAGCAGCGACAAATACGTACTTTGCGATGCGCACATACTTTGCGCCAGCGTATATAGGGCACTAGCTGTTGCCTGTTGTTCGGAACGTCAAATTTTGTAGCCTGATTCAGGAAATAAAATAAAACAGCAGTGTATTATAACAACAAAAAGATGTCTTCTTGTTTTATCATAAGATTTTTTCTGCGTGTGTTACTTAATTGCAGAAAGAACGTCTATTGGAACTTTTAAGAATCTTTGACCAAAATATAAATAAAACAACGAGAGATACTTACTAACAATTATTTATTACACTTTATAAAAATGTTTTTTTACAATTAAAAACTTTTAGTCACTGTCGCTACTGTCATGATCATTAAATATATTATTAATATTGCAAAATTCTATTTCTTGTGTATTTCCACGAGATGTTTGAAGGTCGTTCTTCATTTATTGCGTTACACAACGGATTTGACAATTGGCTGGGTGTAGATAACGGCTCGTCATCATCGTCATTGTCATCATCTTTATGTTTGTGTAACAGGTTCCAATTATACGATAGAAAAGCTATTTTTGCTGCCCTGTCTGTAGTCAATCTATTTCGTTTGTGACTATGTATATGCGCATGCGTGCTAAAAGATCGTTCAGTGGCTGCTGAAGTACAGGGAGCAGTTAGAATACGTACTGCAACCCTACTTAGCAATTTGGACCTGCAGAGTCCTCTCCACCAAACTACCGGGTCCATTTCGGCGACATGCTTCCATATAAATGGTCTGCTCCATAAACCTTGTTTAGCTCTATAATTGGCTAAATCAACACCAACGTCAATATTGAGCGATTGGCCCACGTCGTGTATAAACTCCATGGCATCCACTTCGTGTTCTTCTTCTAATTCAATGCCTTGCGATCTTCGATCTAATAAATATGCAGCATAATGAATGGGTTTCAAACAATTATTTGTTCGCCTAATTACAGCATTTGTAATATCTTGTTTGTTATGCTCATTTAGAATGGATATATCTGGAATTGCAAAACTAAATGTAGACTTAATATCTTTGAAGGCCATATAAACTTCATTTCTAAATATTCCATTGCCTTCAAGTTTAAAAATTTTATCTGTTATAGGTTCCAGTAGTTTTATACAATTTTCTACCATGGTCCAGAAATTTAAATCCAGTAAATTTGACTTTATTTCGTCTGATATAGTGGTATCTTCATGAACAGCTAATGTCCGTAATGCAACTTTGGATTTTTTTTAAATTTTTTAACGCGGTGCAGTAACTGCCCCAGCGGGTTTTCCTTGGCAATTTTAATGTTTCACCTGAACCTTTTTCTTTTACAATCTGAGCTAATAAAGCGCTCATACTTTGGTTTCTTTTTATTGATTTTATCATATCTGTGGCAATCGATATAAACGCATTAATAGGTTCTAGTTTTAAGCAATTTTCGCATAACAAATTCAATGTATGTGCTACACATCTCAGCGGTTATTATATTCACATACGAGTTTTTTACTATCTGAAATGCTCTTTGAATATTATTTGCGTTATCTCCGATAAGAGTTACAAATTTGTGGCCTCCATTTTTTTTTTTTTTTTTTTGAGTGTGTATGCTGTTGGTCGCAGATGACCTTTACAGCGTCACCGGGTTTGGGGACGGCGAGATCCTAAGGGGACCTCAAGCCGAGAATTGGCGAGTGCCTCTGGAGGTATTCCAGTCGGATGGCGTCTCCCCACGGGGGGAGTCTCCACTCCATCTGGAGCCTCCAGACCACTCGAACCTGAGGGGGTCGGCTCAACTAGAGGGCGTCTCTGAGACTCGGACCTCGGCTCTAGTTAGCCGTTGTCGTGGGGGGCGGGGAAAAACGCCCAGGTACGTACCTGTACCTGGTATAGCGTGTCGTGTGTAGACCGGGTCTTCGCACTTTTATCATACGGGTGCGGTGTCTGCCTAATGCTAAGCTAGTGTGCACGTTTGCTAGCTGTGTAGTGTTGGTGTTTGTGGCCTGTGTGGGAGGAGTTGGAGGCGCGTTGGTGTGTGTGATTTCGTCATCTAGGCAGTCTAAGACGTGCCTAGGCCGACGGAATCGGAGGGACCTACGATTGGAGGACGGGAGGGCGGACATATGATAACTACTCGCTTTTACTACTAAGGGGTTCGGGTGATGCGCGGCTTTATCGAAGTAACGCCTCGAGGTGTCCTTCATATACTTCGCGATGGAGTACGCAACACACGATTTTGCAGCGTTTGGAGTGGTTTAAGACGCGACGGAGGTACGTGGGCGAAGCAAACACTCGCGTAGGTCATGATAGGATGCAAGTTTTGTAAATTGTCAACTTATGCCTAAGTGACAACTTACTACGCTTCCCTATAAGGTGGAATAGCTTGCCGCGAATGAATGCTGCGCGATCGCGAATTATCTTGAGATGAGGTGCAAACGTTAATCGGTTGTCTAACGTAACACCCAAGTACTTGACCCGGTTCTCCCAGGGGATGACCCGGACCCGGACAGTTGGATGCTCGGAAGAGATCGCGTGGGTGGTGGTGTCGTTCTAAAGAGGATCGCGACGCTTTTTTCCGGATTAACCTCGATACGCCATCTACGGAACCAATCGCCAAGGGTGGTAGCGGCTGATTGAAGTCTATTACAGACTGTTCCGAGACGTCTATCGGAGGTATAGAGGGTGGTGTCGTCGGCGAAAAGCGCGAGATCGACCTTAGGAGTCTTGGGTATGTCGTTCGTAAAGACCGAGTAGAGGATAGGCGAGAGTGGCGAGCCCTGAGGGACTCCGGCGCGTATTGGACGAGGCGAGGAGAGCGTTCCTTCGACGCGATAGCGAAACGAGCGATTCGACAAAAAGTCCCGTATGATGAGCACGAGTCTATCCGGCACCGAGTTTGTATAGCTTATAAATTAAGCCATTGTGCCAGACTTTGTCAAATGCTTTCGCCACGTCGAAGAAAAGCGCACCTGTGGGAATTGCGGAGGCTCGATATAGATCGCGGTAATGGAAGATGTGCTCCGTTAGGCGGTGCACCTGGTGGACACACGAGTGTTTGGGACAGAAACCAAACTGTTCGTTCATAATGAGGTTGTTCGCGAAGAGAAAGTCTTTAAGGCGGCTAGCGAGGGCGCGTTCGTAGAGTTTCCCCAGTGTTTTGAAGAGACTAATAGGGTGGTAGCTAGAGGGTAAGGCGCCGTCCTTACCGGGTTTCCGGATCTGTGGCCTCCATACACGTTTATAACTTTGATTATCTCTTGAGATACATATTGGCTTGTATGTCGGCTTGTAAGAGTATTAAGGCTTTTAACAAAAACAGGCTCGGGTTTTGCAATAATGAAGTTGATGATACCTTCATTGCGCTGATTACTCCAGCCATCACACTGCAAGTGCAAATCATTTATAGACTTCAGTTCGTCTGTAATTTCATTGACCATTTCATTATAAATGGTTTCCAAATGTGTTGTGGAGATAGCTTTTCTGGATGATAACTTATAAAGTGGTTGCAAATCGTCAAAAAATCGTACCCACAGCGGATGTTCAACGATGGATAAAGGAGAACCGGTAACAAATATTGCCTCTTCGATAAGAGCTGATCTAGATAAAGTTTTTTTTCTGTTGGAATTTCTGTTGGAGTCGTAATAATAGAAGTTGTATCCGTCAAACTGTTATCCTGTGACATTTCATGATGTGATTCATCTTGCAAGGGCAGATTTGTGGTAGTTGTGCTAGTAACAGGTATTTTCTGTAGTTTGTTCTTGATAACAGTTGGACATCTATAACATTTCAACAGATGGCTGGTCATCTTGCTGACATTGCCAAATTGGTAAACTTTTTCACAGTGTTTGCATTTTACTGTTTTACTGGTTACCGAATGAAAATAGTTTTCCCATACATCAGTATTTTTCTTTCTGGGCATAATGTGATCTCAGGGGAAAAAAAACAAATGTAAAAACAGTAGAAATGCATAGAGTTGTTCTAAAGTATTGTATATTAACAGAGAAGGTAAACCTACGAAAGTGATATGAAATAAGTATAAATGGCCAAAAAAGAAATTTTTACTTTGCCCAATTTGCCTGAAACGCCCGAGCGTTTAGCCATCTCTAACCATGACTCATTTCAACTTTTTTAAAATAACTATTTCCTACAGTAAATAAACTTAGAAAATCAAAATATAATATCAATTTCAATGAATAAAAGTACAAGGTTTGCAAGGAATTCACAAATATAGTGTGCCCCTGGTTAAAGTGCAACCCCGAAACGAACGCTTTTGTTTTTTATGGTCCATAAAAAAACGAAAGTAACTGATACAACAAACAATAGTAACTTATGGGTCTCTACCTGAGTGGTGAGTCACCATAGTGACGTAATCAGCGGTTAACTTTAAAAGCTCACGTGTTATTTTAAGTTAGTGCATGTTTTTTTTTGTTTGAAAGATAATATGATAAAAAAAAAGGAATAAACAATAAAACTTTCTGGTTTTGGGGGAGAAATTTTGTGAAATTTAAAGATTCATGAAAAAAAATAGTTGAAATAAAAGCATTTTTTTTAACAAAAATCGGAATTTATGTGAGGATTTTCACTTTTTTGCGAGTTATTTCTTACTTTATCTGAACTAACAAGTATGTAGCATTACGTTATTTTTTATTTCATCAAAATCGATTCACTACTTTTGAAGGAAAATTATTTTTTGTACATAGAGTCCGTTGTAAAAGTTTAAAATCTTAATTCTGTAAAAAAATGAAATCACATTGAATATTTTTTTATCACCCATTTATAGTCTAGTTTCACCTCCTTTGCACTTTATCCAAGGACACACTGTATAGTACCTAAAATATAACAATTATTAAAGCTCAAACTTACCGGTAAGTTACCGTTCATAAAAAGAAGTAGGTATCGAAGTCCGTAAGAGTAGCAATAGTTGTCAATCCAAGTCCACAAAACAAAATCCAAGTCGTCAATTTAACCAACAAATTAATACAAGTATGCGCACAGTACGAAGCCAGAACAACGGCTACTACCTGTTCCCCCCCCCCCCCCCCCCTACCCGCGTACATAGCTTCGGGTTACTTGTCGCTATGAGCGGAAGAACACACACAAACAGACAGGTTTTTTATTTAATTAGATAGTTATATACTCCATATACAACGTATTTATTGAATTATGAAAATAAACAAAGTTAGATTAGCTCTAACCAGTAGTAATAGTACTAAATAGTACGTACTATTTGATATATACATGTATCTACACATACCTAGATGTTACATATGCTAAATATGAATAAACCCGAATATTATCCCATTCGGGAGTTATTTCCCACATTGGGGTTTTTTCCGGGTAAAATCCCATCTCTAGGTACGCGTGAGATTATTACAATAAAGGTTGCAAGCCACTCTCCAGTCCCATGTAACCCGGCCGTAACTGCGGACAGATCATACACTGCTAAACCTATCCTAAACAAGGTATTTCTCTAACTAACCCTGGGTGAGCGTGGCGCAGGTACCACAAGGCGAGGTTGGACCCCGACCTACCCATTTCTATATATATATATATATATATATATATATATATATATATCTATATAACTGGTTGTCTCACTGAGAACTAGAATTAACTAAGTTTATCACCAATATCGATCAAACGAGCCGTAGAACCTCTGAAATCCACTAAATAGCTTATTATCTGGAAAAGTCTAGTTTTTGTGGTCTCTCAATTGACAGTCCATTGCAGAGTAGATAAAATATATTAGATATAGTTTAAGAACTCATATAAGTACATGGTAGATTGTTATGAATGTCTGATGTTTATATAATTCTAAGATTCATGCCAACTTGGTGATTTATATACACTCTCACTTTAAAACTACTGTATTCAGCTGAGTTATGATATTTATAGTTAGTAAAATATAGTTATAACATTTCTTGCCAACTTGATGATTTATATAAACTCTAACATTAAAATTACTGTATTCAGCCTCGTTGTGACATTTATAGTTAGTAAAATATAGTTATAACATTTCATGTCAACTTGGTGATTTATATAAACTATAACTTAAAACCACTGTATTCATCATCTTTAGAATGTATAGTTAGTAAAATATAATTATAACATTATTTTAATTCCTTGGTTTTCTTTCATTGCTTCCCCTGCGCTCTGAGGTAGATTGTAGAGGGCAGTGGAGAAAAATATAACATCACAAGATCACAAAGCAAAGCTAAAGGAAAAATTCGATACACATTTAATAGAGAAAGACCTTTGTCGCCTTGAAAAGAAAAATGATCGCAGAAACATAGGTGAAGGAAATATATGTACCGTATATGATTTGCAAGCAGTCATGCAATGCCCTTTGGGAGACTCGAGTTCTTTTTATTACATATCAAAACTCAACTGCCTAAACTTTACTATGGCTGAGCTGGCTCAAAAATCTGACAAGAAAACAAATAAAAACCAACCTAAAGGACAGGAAGTTGAAGGGAATGAGATCTCAAGACAGAATTGAAGAAGAAACTGTCGGCGCCTATAGGGATGTATATAATTACTTTTGGGATGAAAAACAAGGAAAAGGGAGGCAAACGAAATAGGATCCTGCATATTTGAG